GGTTAGAGCTGAAGATGTTCAACTATAAACAGTCAAGACTGATCAAGAGATTCAGTATGAGTCTCACTCAAGCTGGTTTTATGAATACCAAGTCAGTCAAGATTTTGCCAAGCAAGTCCCAAGTCCTAAAATGGGCAACTTAAGTCTGACGAGAGTCCCCCACGTATGCCTGCTAGCATGGGCTGCTAATCTTCTTTCATAAGAGGACATTGCGTTTGATTGTCATTTCCTACATTTTAAAATATGGTTCAAAAGTTAAGCACGAAGCTTGAAGCCAACATCGCACGGAGGGCAGTTTGAAGCTTCTTTATACCTCGCACGGGCAGCGACCCCGCTGTGTCACTGTGGCCATTCCGCTCGCTGTTTCCATTTAGACTCAATCGCAACCCACACGTGTCGTTTTGTTTTGCAGTTTCTGTCCAGTTTCTCTTCATTTTCTGGCCTATTCTGGTCGCTGTTTCTGTTTTTTTTACTTTGCCAAACAAGTAACAAGGCCACAGCGACGACAATGCATGAATGGCCGTGGATGACGAGGTGATGCATTTCATTGTTTTGGGAAATGGGTCAAGAATGCCGTGTGTGTGTGTGTGTGTGTGTGTGTGTGTGTGTGTGTGTGTGTGTGTGTGTGTGTGTGTGTGTAGGCTTCTACACTCATACACACGCCTACGCCGCCGCTAAGCTAGCTTGCTTCAGAGCAGCAGCAATGAACTCTGTGGTGTGTGTTCCCTCCTCCGTGGTGACGAATAAATGATCCTCAAAGAGGGACCTCTCCAGGGAAAGCTGAGTACATCCTCGCAGCATGTGACTAAACGGACCAATCGGAAGAGCATGCGCGCTGGATTCTATATGCGGCAACCATTTCTGGTTTGTGTGCGCAGCCATGTGTTACAGACGCTTCGGTCAGGTGACACAATGCCACCGTTGTTACCTGTGCGTATGTGGGAGCATAAAAGAGGCCTTTCGACTTTGTCCTGGGTTAAAGTCAGGACCCGCATTGCCTGCGGACCGGCTGGTGTTTTTTGTGTCAACACGTTTGTGGTCCGCCGAAGGTCATCGAACCCGCTAAGACGGTCGTCGCTTTTAATGAAGTTACACTTGTGAGCATTGCAAACTATCAGTTTGTGATCTTTTTTTTTTAACTCAGTATGCAATTGGGATGACATCACTACACTGAAATCGGGAAACGGTTTAATTCTGTACGTTTTTTGTTTTTTTATTATTATTTCAGTTAAAACTGAAGGGGAAGACTAATTTCATGCGCACGTTTTTAAAAATATACCTTTCGCAGGTACTCGCATTTAGTCTGACAGCCACGATAATAACACTTCATTCAACTTGTCATGGAAATATGGAAGCACATTGTGTATTTCCTCTGCTTCTGTACGTTTTCCCATCAGTTAGATACACTCTATCATGTATTTACAGTGTCCTAACGTTGATATCAGCATGTATCGTGGATGGGTGTTCATGCAAGGTATCGATCATCTCACGCTTAGCTATCATTGGTGTTGTACGTGTATGTTTGCGTGTCGACCTTTCGAATTTCGTCTTATGTGGATTCAGAGTTATTTGGATGCTTTTATGCACTACATTACACACGTGAGGATCATGTTCATGGGTTGAAAGTGGTATCGCTGTCGTCCATTTTAATGATGATATACCATTGTTTTCTTGTGCATGGAATGCAGTTAATTTTTGCATCGCGACCCGACGTCACAACAATTCAACCATGCCCAGCGAGATCCGTTGTGGTCGCCTCCAACCATGCATTTCTCCTTAGACTTTGATTGGAGAGGTTTATGTGAGCTGTTGTCACATATCTTTAAGGTTGATATACGGCAGTTGTTTAAATGTCTATCGGTGGTTCTAAGGTTGCATAAGGTGCAGTTCAACAACGTCGGGGCCAAAAGTGTTTATGGTCGCCTTGAAGTACGCCGTGTCAGTGGGATGAGAGGGTCAAAAAGGAATTGTGATTTGTAATCATCGTTGATGTACATGGGAAGATGGTCAAACTATAAAAAGTGATTATTTCACAATGACCCCCCCAAAAAAAAACAAACCCAAAAAATGGAAACTAACTGCTGCAAATGGCATATCAATGTTGTTTGGGAAGTTAGGAAATCTCCCCTCATGTTTGCTTTTATCAGCAAGATTACTTTGTTAAACTTTGGGCAGTTGACTATCCACCCCCCAGCCCCTGAAGTATACGAGATTATAAATAGTCAGCCACAGAACTGATTTATCTCCTGTTATAGTCGTTTATAATGGCTAAAGGTTAACAGAAGTGTGGACAAATGCAGTGCAAAGGTCTCTATGTTCTCCAAATGTCATATAGTGTGTATTTACCTTCACATGATGATCCTATGGCATGTTTCATTGGCATACTAGAGATAAGTGGAGCCCAACAGTGGTGGGGAGGAGGAGGGGGGGGGGCTTTTTCCTCTCAAATTAGGGCTGAATTGCCTTTTGGGGCTTGCAACACCCCCTCCCCCCCAAAAAAAAACGTGACAGTTTTTTGCAAGTGTGTATATACTGTGATTAATTATGTCTATTCGGCATTCTGAGAACAAAAACAAAAAAACATCCATTTATCACTGCATATATCACTGCAATATTTCACCTCACAATTCAATATCGATTCAGATAATTCCCCCTGCAATTCAACATCAGTTGAGCGAATACGCTGAATTGATTCACCTTGTGGTGCGGGATACTTTGCGTGTGATTCGCGTTGGGTGGGCGATCGACCAAACAACAACAACAACATGGCGACTACAGCAAGGTGTGGCAGCCTGAAGCAAGCGCTTTCTACTTTTAAATCTGAGGGGTGCCGTCGTTTTTGGGTCCCCTGTTCAATTTGCCGTCAAACTGCCGCCAAGCTCTGTCTGCGTGCAGAAGATAACGCCGTGTCTGCAAGGACCTTCAACTGTGCAGGGTTGTGGGAAAACCAACGGTTTAAGATCACATAGAGATACCCGAAGCACGATACGCGACACCAGCACGGAAACGCACGTCAGAAGTTGCCATCCAGAAGCTTGGAAATGGAGCTGAAGGCCTGATTTTTGGAGTTGTTGACGTCATAGAGACAGCTGGGCTTCCAGAGCGACTGAATGAGAAATTATTTCTTCTCATTTTATTGAATGAAGAAATATTAAATTTACATGCACTTAACTTTTACAATATAGAAGTGCCAGCATGTTGTTGTTTTTTTTTTTTTTTTTTTTTTTTGCTTTGATACTCCATTTGAACCAATAAATTATTGTGCAATTTCTCTATTGCAATTTCTGAGAGGAAATAAATACTGCATTTACAAACCCTTTTTTTCGTGATTACACAATTTTTATATTTTTGCCTTTTTTTACCCCATATGCAGAAATTACTGCAATCTAGTGAGTTTTGTATCGTTCAATGAGACTTCTGCACCTCTCAGCGGAATTTTTGGCCCACTCTCATGTTTGAAGGGTGCTTTCTCCAGACGGCATGTTTCAAGATCCTTCCACAGATGTTCAGTCAAAGCATTTCCATCAGGGCTCACGGAAAGCCACTTTTAGCCATTCTTGGGTGTTTTTAACTGTGTGTTTGGAAAAATGGGGTGTGCTCATTTCATATAATCTTTCAAACCCAATCGATCGGGGAAAAAAAAAAACATACTTGTTTACGTGGCGTAAACCCTTTACAAGCATTTAGTGTGAAAGGCACAACACACAACCTTTTGGCCCACGGGGCCCTTCAATTCAGGCCCTGTAATTTTCATTGAGCAATGAGCTCCTGCTTGAAATGAGACCCCCGAGCCGGAGCTATTAACGTGAGCCCCCCCTGGTTCTACTTTGCTCCAAAGGGACCTTGTTTTGATTCCTGATGCTTTTATAGGTCTTGTCTTTAAGGAGACATTCCTGCTCGGCACATACCGTGCGCCCCTCTTTGCTCCTATTTTCCTTCCTTCCCGTCTTGTGGGGCCTTTGCAACCCCCCCACTCACAAACACAACAATGATCACAACATATGTGTGTGTTGCTAAAGGCCGCTGACCAGCCTGCCCTCTCCTGACAGCCTAGCTAGCTACACTCCATGAACTTGGGACACCCGTCACAGCT